AATTAATATAAACTTCACTTCAACATAACTGCTGCCTAATTAATTTTACAAATTTTAGTCGTAACAAAGGCATTTAGTAAAAACTAGTTTTAACTAGAGAAAACATGTTTTAACTAAAAACGGGTTTTCAATATAACAGAGGAATACATTTTATAAATAAATGGGTATGCAATTCCTTGACTGACCATTTGTTTTGTAGTTTGCGATGCAAGTTTTACAATTTCAATTAACTTCTCAAACTCTGAAAACCCTTCGGCGTGTATTGCTTGAAGGCTCTTTAAAACGGTAGTTGTGCCGCCTTTTCTGCTTAGCTGCTAATTCAAAAATCTCAACATAAGAGTTCCAAACAATAGTCATTTTTGGCCTCATGATTGCACTTAAGTGTGTAACACGACTCAAATTACTAACTATCTAAAAAACAGAAAATCTTACGCACTTACACTCACGTCACGCCGTATAATAAAGTTAAAAAAGTAAGTAAACAAACCCGATGGGACAGGTGCCGAAAGCACGTACCCAGCTCGCTGGTGGCCAGCTAAAATGCCCCACCCCGCTCTTGCACGTGCTCAACTATCAAACGATGCGGCATACCTCGTCCGCTGCGTCACATGAGTAGATAAACGGAATTTTATCTACTCATGTGGCTGCGTCGCTGAGTTCCGTTCAAACTTCCGTTATAAAACTTGCGGAAACAGAAGCAGAAACGGATGTTGAAAATCATGCAGAACTTCCGCAGTTGCGGAAACAGAAACAGTCCTGTCTCTATTGTTCAATATGTGCATTGGACATTCATATCTACCACCGGATCTAATGAAAACCATTGTCAAAAACAGGGTAGGTGATATCTCGGATAAGGGCAACTACCGCCCTATTTCTCTTGCTACCACGGTGGCCAAAGTATTGGAAAGTCTGCTTGATTCATGCTTGCAAAAGTATCTGAAGTTGAATGACGCGCAGTTCGGGTTTAGGCCCGGACTATCCACTGAAAGCGCAATACTAAACCTAAAGCACACTGTCCAATACAAAACAAGTCGGAGAACGCCGGTGTACGCCTGCTTTCTAGATCTCTCCAAAGAATTTGATCTGGTTTCGTATGATGTGTTTTGGAGGAAGATTTGAGAGAAGACAGGGGTGTTCCGATGGTGGTGCTAAATCTTTTTCGGTATTGGTACACAAAGCAAGAAAAATTACGTTAAATGGGCTGACCAATTGTCCAAGTCGTACAGGTTGGAGTGCGGAGTAAGGCAAGGTGGGCTGTCGTCTCCAAAGCTGTTCAACCTGTATGTAAATGACCTCATAGTGGAGCTCAGTAGCATGCGAGTCGGATGCAAAGTGAGTGGTGTTAATGTAAATAATATTAGTTACGCGGATGACATGGTGCTGCTGGGCCCCACTACGAGTGCTATCAGAGAAATGTTGAACGTATGTGAGAGCTATGCTAAGTCGCATGGTCTAGCCTACAATGCCAGAAAAACCGAATTTATGGTCTTTAAGGCCGCCGGTAAGTGTCCCGAATTTATACCTCCAATTTGCTTCGGTGGAGTGGGGCTGAACAGAGTTTTCTAATTTAAGTACCTGGACCACATACTTACCGACGACCTTAGAGACGATTTATACATAGAACGGGAGCGTAGGGCTTTGGCGGTCCGTGGTAACATGCTGGTCCGTAGATTCGCTCGTTGTACGGATGAAGTCAAGATTACGCTTTTTAAAGCATTTTGTCAAAACATGTACACGAGCGGTCTGTGGATCAGCTACACCAAAGGATCGATAAACACCCTTCGCGTCCAGTATAATAATATCTTCAGGATGATGTTGAAACTTCCTCGTTTCTGTAGTGCATCTGAAATGTTTGCGCAGACGAGAACGGATGGTTGTCAGGCACTCATGCGCAAGAAATGGCGTCACTAATAAGCCGCGTACGGGGAAGTGACAACAGCATCGTGAGGATGGTAGCAGATGATCCACATGCACCTATATTAAGGCCATGTATTCCTGCAAAAGTAGGCATTTAGCGCTGTCCCGGCCGCGCACGAATTATTTCGCGCGGACTCCGCGGCAGTGAACTTGCATGACCCCACCAGCGACACAGTATAGAAATAAGCAGTAGTATGACTTTTTTATTTGACTTTACAAATGCATTTTTTATGATCAAACTTTTTTATTATAGCGATAAATTAGAGTTACATAATAAATAGAAAATTAACAACCAGATCGCTTTTGATAGGTATGGAAACTGTATGAGTAGAGAACTGTTTTTAAGTTTCGTGCGAACACGCACAACGCTAGGGGAGAAAGTCAAACTTACAGTGAAATTCATTATAACTATTAAAACCACAGGATTTATATTTATAGTACGCAATATTTAGTCTGTGAAACCACATTGCACCTAAAAAACATGGGTCTCAATATCTACTCTGCCCCCTTAGGCAAGAGGTCGTTATGACCACATGATTTATCCATTTGAAATGTCATTTCCATACATGTATTACGTTTCTACTAGCGTTTACGATATGATATGAATATACTTTATTGTACACCACAAACAAATTTACAAAGAACATAACAGAGAGCAGATTACATGTACAATTTGGCGGCCTTATCGCTACATAGCGATCTCTTCCAGGCAACCAAAGGTGTAAAGGAATAAAACAGTGAATACTAGGTAGGTGGTGCAATATAAATATACCTAATATAATATCAATACATGCAATAAAATAACATATAAATAACTAATACATTAAAAAATATGATACACATATACATACGTATATACATAAACATACACACACATATATACATATATATATATATATATATATATATACATATATATATATACATATCCATGCATATACATATACATATATACATATACACATATACATATATATACACATACATACATGCACATACACATACATACATATATCCTCAAATATATACCACTAACAAGCGTTTACGATTGTAGAAAGACATCTTGGCTAAGGGGGCAGATTTGTTTAAACAGTCACAGTATTTTTTCTTCTTATACTTACAGTATGTTTTATTTATCTCTGTAAAAAAACTTTTTCGTTGTCACCTTGTAAGGACAGCAGTCTTGTCGGCATTCCCACTTGTGGTTCGGGTGATGGTAAGGCTGGGGAGACTAGATAATTTTCATTTTCCTTATCACCTTGTAAGGACAGCGGTCTCAACGGCATTCCACGTGCGTGTCTACTGTCTACAATTTCCGGCATTAAACATTTCATGTAAAATTTGACCAATTTTGGCTCCATTTGCATTTTCTAGAAATTATCGTCTCTTTCGATGCGTTTTGTGAGCAAGGATTTGTTTTCTCCAGCCCAAATACCTAACAGACAGAGTCGTCTTTCAGTGACGTGGAGCTGCCCCTGTATTTGATAGAACCAATCAGATTTTTTATTTATTGTGCTGATGCAAGCTTTTTGTCATATTTTATAATTTGAATTTTATTTTGCTGTATTGCATTTGTAAGTCCATTTTTTGCTGCAGTTAAAGGGCACTTGATTTCGACTAGCATATCATCGCCTACTAATCCGTCTGGAGTTGCTCCAATAAATGGATAAGTTTTATCTACGAACAAACCGCAAGACATAATATTTATATTTTCTTGTTTTTGTAGCTGTTGAAGTGCTTGCTTTTCGTGCTCTATTCCGTGTGCAACACCAGCTACACGTGACAATTTTTTTTGATACAGTATATTTTTCACCAATGGCGCAGTATTTAGACTAATTTTTCTTTTACATATTTGCCCAAAATTAGATGCGGTGATTAGGTTTTTCCGTATTTCAAGTCATTCACTACTATCTCGTTGCAAAACCGTAGCTCTTTCGATAGCATGCCTATCAGAAGTAAGCATTTTTAAATTATTAAAAAACTCTTCTTCCGCTTTCTTTAATTCATGGGGAGACATATCTGGTGCAGAGCTCGCTGGACCATAGTCATGTTGCTTCTGATTAACTTCTTTTAATTTTCGTAATTTTTTACCGGATGCTCCAAGTTTAACTTTCGTTTTTGTGCTCTTCTTCTTTCAGTTATATTTACCCTGCCTTTATGACTTATTTAAAAAAGCTTTTTGGATGGCTGAAAGTGCGGATTTGCAGTTGAACGAAACAACAGCTGCTGAGCACCTCCCTTGGTAACCTCCTTTCAGTGCGTAATATGTTCTTTTCCCACCAATAAATTTAGCAATGACACTATTAAAACACTCAACAGTGTTTGTGTCAACGTCTTCCACTAAACTGCGTGATTTTGCAGCAACGTTAGAAATAATTGCATTCGTCCTAAATATGAATGTTGAATTCTGGATCTTTTTGAGCTCTCCGTTGTCATTTTTATCTTTGGTGCAATAATATTCCTGGCACATTCTATGGTTGCCAAAAGCATGTGCTACACAGTTAATTATATCATTGTGAAGACCTAATATTACTACATTGTGAGGACTGTCAAAAGCTTTGTGATGTTTTATACATTGCACAATAAATTTCCGCATCGTCATAATTTTGACATTGGTGAGCATTTTACGGTGCGCTAAAACATATTTTGTTTCTGTGGTCAGACTACGTAGGTTTTTGCAAAAGTTACGCAGTATAAGATTCCGACATTCAATTTTTCGAGGGTCACATTTTCGGTCTCATACGGTCTGGCTTTGAGGATTGCAGCGTAAGTAGAAGCATCTCCGTCTCCTATCATTCGTTCATATATAATGCCATACAATGGGATCGACGCCTTGAAACCTTCTACAGTTGTTTCGGTTTCCATGGAGCTAGAAAAACCTGCATAATTTTTAAAGCATTTGTGTGGCTTAGGTGACATATTTTTGTGCTCAGCTCGAGCGTACACTAAGCAGTATTTGTTTTTTATTCCAATGTAAAGGACTTGGCCTGTTCTTCTGCCGATTATGGCTGCTGTGCCTGATGACGCTTTATAGTTTGTGCCGTAAGATCTAGCACACCATGAGTCGTCGACGTAGACATCAATCACAGGAATGCTGTTCTTAGTTCGACCTTCTGCGATAGCGATATCCTTCTCCATTTGAGCTGCAGCTTCCATGGAAGCACTTGCCGTCTTTTTCCATCCTCTAATTTCGAATAGTATTTTGAACTGAAAACTGGAATATCCATAGCCGAACATAATTCTTCAAATTGAGAGAAGCCGATACCGGAAGCCACAATTCCAGTAGTAGCAGCTATATTTAGATTAACTTGTTCTTTGTCGTTATGGTCTTCAGAGTTAATCAAAAAAACTTGTTTGCACATATTGCATTCAAAACGATAAACCGATAAAAGTCCTTAACGTTTTTCACTAATTAAACGGAAGTTACTTAATGTGCAGTTAAATAGATCGTTATGACGAGCTTTTTCTTGTAATTCTTGTAAAATATAGTTTATATCAACAATTCGCCGTCCCGAAACGGTTGAAATTCATCTTCTTTGTGTTCATTCTCTACGATTAGGGGATTTTCTGTCTCTTCAGTATCTCTGAAACAATGAACGCATAGGGTAAGTATTACATCTTTTAGATCAAGTATTATTATACCAGCTTTTGCCCCCTGCTTCGCTCGCGATAAAGGTTATTTTCCTATCCCTCGAGAACAGTATCTTTTTTCTGGATGGGTGACATATCCTTTTCTGTATGTCTACTATATGAGGTATAAATTTTTAAAAGTTTTTGATGTACAAAATGTAAAGTTATACACTGACAAAAAAGATAAAAAATATTAACATAAATGATATCGTACAAAATAATTTCATAACAGCATATTTTATTATATTTTGGTAACATGTTCAAACCGGCCAAGTGCGAGTCGGACTCGGGCACCGACGGTTTCATACATATTTGTAGAGCACACCTTTGATGTAAATTAGTATGTATGGGGACAACAGTGTTCCTACTGCAGTTGTTTGTAATTTTTAAAAATATTTTTGAGGAAATTTCATTGAAAAAAAAAACGGATTTTACATTTTTTTGGTATTTGGTGGTAAAATATACGTAATAATAAACATTATCAGCAAATTTCAAGTTCAAAAGCCAATGGAAAGTCAAAAAGTTACAAAATTTTGTAAAAAAAATTGCCGACTTTGGTGGGTTCTCATTTCTTTCTTTTGATTATTATTTAAAATATAATATGCAGTGTTCATTTACTTAACGAGAACAACGGTACCCCACTCGATGGGGTAGATCACAATATTTTGTTCGCGACCCCCTTTAGCTGTATGAGAGGAAGTCGAGCGTGTACCTGCTGTACTGCCATATGTTAGAGGAGTCACTGACAAGATTGGCTACATCTTGAAGCGCGCTTCCATCAAAACATACTTCAAGCCGCTGAAGAAGATTGGTCAGTTTTAACCATCAGTCAAGTGTAATGTCCCTCTGCAAGATGCAGGAGTGTACAAGCTTGATTGTGAATGTGGTCTCTCCTACATAGGACAAACTATAAGATCAATAAAAACCCGCGTTAAAGAACATATAGCTGATGTGAAGAATCGACGCTCCGGGAAGTCTGCAGTCTGTGAACACGTACAGGATCGCCCCCGTCACTAAATCAGATTTGATAGACCGCAAATCCTCGCTAAAGAACACCGATTCCTTCCAAGGATGATTCGCGAGGCTATTGGAATCAAAAAACATCCTAATTTCAATAGAGAAGATGGCTGGGTGCTACCATCTGCTTGGGATCCTATTACAAATAAAATTAAATCCCAACCCAAGCATACAACTGCAAGACTTCAAGATACCATAAGTTCATACTTTATAGATCGGAACAAATGTTAAATTTTAATCTATGGTAACCGTGGTCTATGACATATGGACGTTGAACATCTCAGTCCCGCCCGTGACCATGAGTGCTGTAAAGCGTTCGAAACGTCGGGTATTTAAAAAGTTAAATATACGCGATAAATTCCGTAAAAACTAGTATTATTTTAATTTGATACTGTACCGACTTTACATAATTTTTTTTAGGTAGTAGTGTTCCTAATACTTGAACAGCTGCTGTCGAACATCATTCAGGGCCTACTTAAACTTGTGTTTCTAGTTACACACAATAATATTGTAAATATGTATATAACATTAAACACTTATGCACTTGCAGCCTTTCAAAGGTCCACTGTTGAACCTAGGCTTCCCAGAGATTGCCACATAGCGGGAGATATTTTTGCCACGCTTGGCAAAGCAATCTATTATTATGTACGTAAGATTTTTTTATGATCTTACTTTATTTTTCATATCATTTCACATCCAATCAATTATCATGAATACTTTATGAACTCATCATCATCATCATACCTCCCCCAATGTATTCCTGCATGTCTTACCAGGTCGTCACTCCATCTAGTGGGGGGTCGCCCTACACTACGTCCACCGGTACGATTTAACAATTGAAGTCATTAACACCGTATAGTGAGTTTTGGAGGGATGCATGGCTCTAGAAATATCCTCATACATTTCCTCCACCTCATCATCGGTATGTGCTGACGTTGGTGCGTAAACCTGTATGACCTTCAGTGAATACCGTTTGGTGATTCCGAGTATAAGGAACGCAACCCTAGTCGACACACTCCCAGTCTTTACAACGTTGTTAACCAAAGACTTGTGGACAATAAATTCAACACCTCCTTGGGACAGATGGTCACCCTCTCGGTGATAGAACAAGTTGATTCGAGAATCACCGTGTCCTCCCCCTCTCTTCGGATCTCGGATTCCAGCTCAACTTGTCTATCTTTTCTGCCAGCTCTGGGATCTTCTCGTCAGTACTCAAGGTACGTGTGTTGTATGTTACCAGGTCGAGTCGTTTTAAGTGGCAACCGAACCTCCACTGGGAATTCTTAGTACCCCCTGCCCCGCCGTTATCATGGTCGCCACCGTAGCCAGGAATAGCGGGGCCGCCGGGGACTGGAGGCCGTCTATTTGCGTCGTTCCTCATGGGTATATTGCCATAGTTTTTTTTTATAGAAGAGGGGGCAAACGAGCATGCGGCTCACCTGATGTTAAGTGATTACCGCCGCCCATGATCAACCGCAACACTAGGGGAATTGCAGGTGCGTTGCCGGCCCTTTAGAAAGGAGTAAGCTCTTTTCTTGAAGGTCCCCAGGTCGTATCGGTCCATCATCATCGCGAAAGAAAACTCCTTTTAAAACGTACAGTGGTGGACCGCCAAGCATCCAGATGGTGTGGATGGTATCCAGGAGTGCGTTCACGAAATTTGGCGGCTGGGATTAATCCGAACAATTCCTCAGAGCACTCCCCATATGCGAAAGAAAATGCAAAGAGATGCAACATCTCTTCGCAGCGCCAGTGAATCTATATTATGTTATTTCCAAAAAAGGTAAAAGAGTAGTTTTCCTTTATAAATGACCTTTTTTAATTAAATCCTATATATTTACTATTTATTAATCCTATATATTATTTAATCATTTTGTCAGACACACTTACGTGAATAATATCTATAACAACATTATGTTTTTTTTTATTTTTTTTTATACAAATTATAGTAACAATAACATATATAAAATCTTTAAATTATATCAAATCGTACCAATGCAATGGATATTAAAAGTTCACTAAACATGGAAATTTAATGTATATTTTTATAAGTGATAATTGAACTTGTTCTTGACGCAAAACGATAACCCGCAACCCGGCCGCACTCCGCGTCATGGGGATTAGTTTTGTTGAATCTGAGATTGTAGAATCTATAATCTGAGTGTTCAACGAAGTTTTCTAAGCTATCGTCACATATAAACAATAACACGTCTTGACCTTAGAATAAATGTTGACCATAATTCTTATTCCAGGTTTAACTGAGACACCAAAATAATGTCAATACTTTATCTATCAATTTAAAAAAAATATAATCAGCTAAGATGCGATAATAAAATAAAATGATATGTCTTACCCAGTGGAGTAGCTACGAAACCAATAGCCCCAGGGCAAAAATGAGATTGAACCCCTATTTAAACTAACTAAATACTTTAAGATGCAAAACTACTTCATCATCAGCTCCTTATCTCCCACTGTAAAACATAAAGAAAAGCTACTTACTACTAAGTTCTATGTGTAACGCAGCGGATAACATTTAATCGTTCAATTCCTAACAATGTTATAGTTGTGAAAGTTTGTTTGTTTTTTACGCTTTCAAGAAAGCTACTGGATGGATTTGGATGAAATTTTGCACAAGGATAGAGCTTTACCTTTAAGACATAGGTTAATTTTATCCCGATAAAATCCTGTGGGATGATTTTCAATATTGGTCCATACCAGGTGAACGAAGTCGCGGGTGAAATCTAGTAAAAAATAAAAGGCCGTTTGAGCTTGAGGGCCTCGGGGCACTGCACCGCCTAGCCTTACGGCACCTACGCCACTAGTTTAAAGAAGAATAAGTAAAAAAAAAAACAAATAATTAAAATGACGCACTAATTAATATTTTACAACTGTAGGAAATTTCTGCACAAAAGCCAGGTCTAGATAGCTTCTGCCGCGATCTATATCAACGGGTAATAGTGAAGATGCAATTGATGTTGATAATCAGTAGGGGTCTGGTCGTCGGGTATCCGGTATGTTCGTTGCCGGTGTGTAGTTCCGTTTTGTTGTAGTTGCGTTTACCATTAGCGGGTTGGGATGGGTTTAGATTAGACGCTTACAAAGCAACACCGAGACATTTTCTTGTAAAGGTAGAAGTACGCCTTTTTTTGTCTAAGAGTTGGTTTTCTTCTTACATATTTTTGGGGCTAAGCAGCAGTGCGTGCACTTGTGGCGGCGCTGTCATCGCGCCACAGGCGAAACACATCGAAGCCTAAATCGCGCTATCAAAGTCCCGAATCAAAAACAGTATCCATATATATAATAGCTCTGAACTTTCCCACGGAGCGGCCCATCGACCGATACGAGCTGAGCAGTCAGAGACGGGGGGTCCGCACACCCCCCCCCTCGGACTGCGGTTAGATAGCTCAAAGAAAAACGCCTAAAAGGCGACATGATGATTGGTAACAATATCAAATCATAAACCATCTCATCATCATCCTCACCTCATTGCCTTTCCCTTTTTTAACTAGCCCTGAGACAAGATGAAGCTGTAAGAGTCGCATAGACTAACAGCACTAACATCTAGATAATAGACCACGGAGCGTTGGACGCTCCCCGGGCAGGACACCTTGCCCGGCGGGATATCTCCCCTTTTCCTTCCACGGCCACACACTGTTGTGTTAGTCTGAAGGGTATAAAAAGCCAGTAGATTCATTTCTAATGATCCGGTCATTCA